CACCATTACATGTTCCAGTCCAATTAAACCACCTTTTGAAATTTGAATGTGAGATAAAGGTTTTAAAGGTCACCTCAAAATATTTACAAAAACTTGATCAATGTCCCAGAAATTAAAATAATATGTATTTTGTTGTTGTTTAGTGTAGTATTGGTCAAATAGATAAAGCTGTAAATGTTAGTATTTGTGGTCCCTGTGCTGTGAAAGCCGTCTCTATAACAGCTTTTATTACATAGGCCAGTACGGGTTACTTTAGAAATGTTGTAACTTGGCGTGATTGGTTCTGATCAGAAGTGTCGCTTGTTATGATAGTTTTAATCTATCAGCTAAACATCAGAAGAAGAAAAGCAAGAGTCTCCCAAAGTATTTTATTTCCCTTTTTTTATGGTAGTAATTGTATTCACTGAAGTGAAAAATTAAGTACAGAGTAATTTGGACACTGCAAATTAGTGTGACTGGGGACTAATGCTTTAGTGGGAAATTTACACCATAGCTACACTGTAACTGCAACCCCCTCTAAAACCCTGAGGCGAAACTTGACGTGGACCTCCCTGGAAATCTCAGAGTCTACAAATATAGTGACTGGCCTGTGTGGTACCGTCTATTCCTCCTGTGTAGGTCTGACTATCTTCTCCCATGCAGTTTATTGACATTTTAATAACATGCAAATATTTCATAAAGCATAAATTTGAAATATGTTGGGAAAAATTATTTATTAGACATTGTACATTTATTGTGAAGTGAAGCTCAATAAAACTTATTGTTAGTTTTAGCAATATTCATTCACTCCTTTTGTTTGTTTTGTTCTGGTCATAGCAAAACAAGGCACATTAAAATAGAAAAAACTGTATTTCAGACAAAAAGGGTGTAGGCAGAAATTATGCTTACATGAGTTATGAGTCAGCATCACCTATTTTAACATAATGTCCACAACAACAGCACCCTCCAGCGGTCATAGTAAACACAGCAGAGAAAAATATCTTGAGTGTGTGACGCTGTCACGGTGCCATGAGGTAAGTCTGTAATTTACCTGATAAACC